TAATAGTTAATGGTATTGTTCTAAGTATGATCAAAACATAAGTTTCTTGGAAATTTTTGTCAAATAATCAGTTTTTCATACTTTATAGAAGAGAAATTATCTATTTTTAATCATTTTTAAATGTTCGACGAATGTATCTACTGATTTTCATAATGTACTAAAAAATTCAAAAATGTAAAAGAAAACAAAATCAAACAAAAACATAATAAAAAAATGAATCTAATAAAAAATGCCAACAAAATTGGCTTAAAAAACAGTATTTATTCGCGTAAACCCTATTTTATAACGCTACAATAAATTTACGGGTGGGTAGCGATTTCTTGAATAGTTATAACAATAGAAGTATACATTTTACATATATTTTCAATATTTAATACTTGTAAATGAAAAATGTATATAATATAATATTTTGTATAACGAATTGTAACAATTATTATTATATATAAGTTTTAAGCTCTAAAAATAAAAATACTTTTTTTTCTTAGGAATTCAGTTATATAAAAATGAAATTTTAAATGTTTTACTGTTAACACATTTCAAAGTTTTTGAATCCATTAAAATTTATAAATTAATCGCAATTATAATATGAAGGTTATTATTATCGGGGTCGGTGATATAAAATTAAACCATTTCGTAGTATGAAATAAATAATATATTTTAATCATAATAAAATTAGTACTTATCCAAATAACTCAAAAAATGAAGCATTCTTGTGAGTATTAAAAGATTTATTTTAATCATTGTCGTTTTCGTGGAGCTGGATTTTCGAGTTAACATCATCCCATACTAATTTGTTTTCTTTAGTAGATAAATATATGTACTCGTACATATATTATTTATACAATTCCTATGTTTTTTTCAAATAAAATACTATACATAAATATGCTGGATATTTACTATGTACATATCTTCGACCCGTAACTATTAAAATATACATATAAATAAAATCGAAGGATTAATATTTCACTTAAATTAATAATTTAATATGGTAATAATACGTGTAACTTGGAAATATTCTTAAAACAGTAAATATAAATTAAACGAGGCGAGCGTCTTTCTCATAAGTTACAATAAACTACATTTATTTTGTTCTTTATTATTTTTTCATAAGAAAAAACTAACTTTTGTTGATATATATTCACGTACACAGAGTTACGTAAAACGTAGTTTTACTATTATTTTCCTAAAAATTCTATTATTAATTTTCTGTTTTGACTTTTTGAGTGACGAGCCGTAATTTATTTTGCAACGGTTGCTTCGAATTAAATTGATATTTCTAAGAATTTTAAGTCCGCACATGTTATTGTTCGTTTGTTATTAAATTATTTTTTGATTGATTGTTGTTTCAAAGTTTTCTAAATCACAATATTTGGTGCTCACAATGGTGAATATTCAAAAGTTAAAAACAATGAGAAATTTTGCTAAAATAATAATAAAAGCTTTTCTAAGAGGTGTTTTAGATTTATTTTACACAAAATAAATAATAGTTATACGACAGGTGCCAATTTTAGTAATATCGATCATTACTGACGATGTTTAAGTCTATGTGTTTAGGTTTTTGAAGATGCTATTATCTAGACGTGTTGTTGCTCAGTCCCTTCACTGTACGTACATCATAAACAGTAGTCTCTTTCGTCGGTTTTCCAACTACGTTTCGGTTTGAACAAATATTTTGACGCGTATTATATTATCTCGCCACGTGAAGAAACCGAAGTCTGTTTAGAATGTAATAATGTGTACGCATGTCTATAAATATTATAGATCATCAAATTCAGGGGTTGCCAACCTTTTTGGTGTCAAGGGTCAAAAAATAAAAAAATATATTTTTTCACAGGTCATAATTTGAAATACACCTTATTTAATTTAAATAAAATATTATAGTAATTTAAAATTTAATTTATTTAAGTACATTACTGTTTAGTACATTAACTATCGAGGTATCTACAAACAAAGTTATAATACTAATTACACGTCATAATAATAATAAAAAAATATATAGTAAAATATAATATAATATTGGAAAAAAAAAATTAATGTGATTATCGATGTTTAACGAAACGTAGATTACGTGTACAATGTTTTTATACATAATATCTATTTTTGTTCAACAATCGTGCAACTAACTTCTCGTGAGAAATCTCAATTTTTATCAGTAAAGATTATGTGTTGTGTAATATTTTAAAATTAATTATAAATTTTTATCACGGGCCGCATAAAATCGCTATGCAAACCGCATGTAGACCATGGGCCGCGGGTTGTCGTTCTTTGATCAAGTTGATCAAAATACTTATTATCAGTCTTATTTAAAAAAAATTAAAACTAAAAACCAATTTTTTTTTTATGTATATCATTTATGCTATGCTCGTGAACACGCAATATCAGTTTTTAAATTCAAATAATAATCCATATTTCCTAAAATTACGTAAAATAAAAATACACGTAGACGACCAGTAAATGGTATGCCAGCATACTTTGATAGTAAAAATTAATTTTTTCGATATCAATTAAATATGGACCACTTGGTATTTATACCATGAATCTATTCTCACTGTTTTACGGTGAGGTGGTATTGACTCAAGTTATATGAATAAATATGTATAAATGAGTTATGGATCACTTATTTTTTCAAAATTAAAATGTTATAAAATAAAACTTTCAATAATTAAGCCATAGTATAACTATTTAAACTATAAAATTGTTCTCTACGGGATCTCTAATTATCTTGAAAAATTAACTCAATTATTTTACAAATTTATCGCATGGTTAGGTTAACAAACAAAAAAATTAAATATACATATTGGAAAGTAGGTATATTTTTGCTGTGCAATAGATGTCAAGTGAATCATTGTAATGGACGGGTTAAATTTGAATGTCATGATAATTCTGAGTGTACACAGTCTTTAGCTTATATTATTAAGTATATTATATTGTATATTTATATTGATATCATAGAAGTTTATTTTAATATTATTAACACGGTTGGTTGAATTATTACTTTCATTTATTACTTTTATTATTAATAATTATTTATAAATATACGTTTATATCATATATTAATGTTGTTGACTTGTGAACTGTGAGTTTATACCAACTTACCATCGAATAGTTTATCTATATAAGGTTGTGGTGTAAAATATAGCAATAACTTAAAATTAATCTAAATGTTTTAACAATATCATTGTGTTTAATATTGTAATAATTTACGTAAAAGTTTTAAGTTTTTACAAATATTTTCACATCCACGATATGCTACTACAATATAATATTATGTATTCATGTAATTGTGTTCAAAATCAGAACTTGAGGTAATAATATTTTATCAACTCGATTATAATAAATAATAACAACCAAGTGGACCGTTGTTCTATTCATTTTTAATCAGATAGTTAAAGATCGAACCGACTTTATTGCGGGTCGAAAATAACAATATGTGATATATACGTAAAGTCGATCGATAGGTTTAAATAAGGTGCATATTTGAGGAAGAATATTACAACACGGGTAGGATATTTTCTTTTTTTACAAATCTATGAAAATATAATAAATTTAATATAATATCATCGAAGATATTTCATTGTTGTTATATATTTTCTAAAATGTAAACAAATAATTACAACAAACAAAACTGTATAATATCGTTAGGCGGATATTTAATATTATGTACAATTTACATTGTATATAGGTTTTTATATTCGATGGAAATAAATGCGCTTATTGATTTTCTGACTATGACATATAACCATAATATTATGCTTTGAAAACGATTTATTTTACAGTTTTAGATAAACACAAGAATATATCGTTCAGTTATAGTTATATTATATAAGCATATTGTGCAATAATAATATATATATATATTATAAGTATATTGTGTATAATATTCTGTTCTATGAAATACAGTAATACGGTAAAACTGGTAAAAGTAGAATAAACTTACATTTCGTTGTTTTGATAAAGTGTACAAACAAATAAACACTACTCAAATCGACTCGCGTGTGCGTGATATCGTTGTTATGATAGTTATTATATTAATACTTGAAAGGTCATCGGATGACTTTTAACAAATGCACTTGTGTGTTTTAAACTCTGAAAGGACATGTTGTCGCCGCTATGACATTTCGTCCGTTGAGACCACAATACGGCGAAGAAACTTCCCGATAAAGAACATCCAACGGACCACAACAATTAATGTCCTCAGCTATATAATTGACGGTTATGTTTTTATGCACAGGTGTTCTAGTTTTGTATTATTTTTATAAATTTTGTTTAGCTTATAATATCTTACTTAAAATTTATCTAAATGTTTTAAAATAATTTATTATTTGTTCTCATTTTATCTTAATTTCTTCCTACGTACAGTCGAGTCTCGATACCTCGAATATCGAAGGGAATAAAAATAAATTCGGCTTTGTGTTTTTTTGAGTTAAATACCTGAAATATATTAACTTATAATAACTTCAGAGAGAAAAAAAAAATGTACTTCGAGTTATCGCGACTCGAATTCAATCAATTCAATCGAGCAATACATAAACTATGAATAATAATATACTGTCTAGACTCCAGATGTTTAGAAGGGTAGTGTTATACTGTATATCGTATTATGGTTATATTTTTATCCAAAGTAATTTTGACTGACGGTCGAAATTGTTTACATTTTATACATGTTTGTTGTGCTAATAGAGTTTACTGTAAATTTGACCCACGTGTAAATGTTTAGCGACGGGATCCAAAACGGCGTGCGTTTTTCGGGAAGGCCGTCTAATTTTGGGCATTTTCTGATGACCATAAAGTTTTGTCACGATAACAACAACAATAACAACATAACATACGATATTATTACTTTCGAGTAGGGTGCATATTATACGCGCAGTCGCGTCAAACTTATAACACACTGCAGGCGGAGTTCAACAAGTGCGCCGTTTGGCCGTCGGAGAAGTTACGAAGAGACGAGAGCTACGAAGGCGGCAGTGGTCAACGTGACTCGATCGGAATCACACGTGTTGTCGCCGGGTGTCGCATAGGAGCAGAAAAACGCCGCGCGAATAAATTACCGCTCGCTGAAATCGAAATATATACAAACATTTATATTTCGTCGTCGTGTTTTACTCATTCGCGGTCGTTCTCGACCGAAAACCGCGTTCCAAAAACAATGAACCTCGTCTGCTGCAAATTGTAATATTATCGCTTTGCGGGTAACACGATGGCATATAAATACACGCACAAAAATCGTCAACGATCGTAATCGAAATTTCGCATGAGAATGTGATCGAAATGTTGAGCGATATCAGCCGCGACGTCTGATAGGAATTAAAAAAAAAAATTTCAAAATCGGACGCCTCGAAAAAAAAAAAATAATAATAAAAATAAAAATAACGCGCCTGCCGTGGCGATCCTTATCACGCATCGCGTCACATATTTCGCACGAGACCTGGCTCGTAATCACGACTTTCTCTCATGTATAAATTATAGGTACACAAGTACCTACAAACAATTTTATCAAATAATCGCACAGCGTGATTTTTATCATTTATCAATCGTTCGCTGCTGTACAAAAATATACCTACCTAGCGCACACGCATAACATAATACGTCCTAATATTATTATCGTTATTTTACGGGGTCGCGTTTCATACATGTTCGTGCGAAGACGACGACGATGGCGACGGTCCGATGTCGCATAACTGTAATCGGCCACCGCTGCGGGTGGACTACAAAGTGAGAAGCACTATTATTATAATAACATTATAATATAGTTTTGGACTAGTTAAATTGGTCTTTGAGATTTTTTTCATATACTTGTATGTACCTATTTATATTAGATGTATAACTTGATTTCACCCGGGTAAACATTAATCTTTATCGTTTTCCGTCTTGCTTCAGTTGAAATATTTAGTATAAACACTCCAATATTACAATGAATAATCTTATAGTTTTCCACTTCTTAATTCTAGACATGTTTTTAATGTAAACACAAAAAAATAGGGCACAGATTTAACAAATATTTAAAAGCCGACGTAAATCTAATATCATTAAGATTAGTATTGGCCATTATGTGTTTATATCAAAAATATGTTCAGAATTAATTGCAAATCATAAAATTATATTTGTAAACATTTTTACATGCCATATTTTTCTAAATTTAATAGCAGTATAATCTTTTACTAATAGCAACCATTTACATATACAGAAAAATATCAAATTCATCTGAGCCAAAATTAAATTCATGTGTGCCACACTATAGTAACTTATAGAGGTTGAAAAAATAAACTATAAATACTTCCCTAGCTTAAAGGATTCTATTGATATAACTTTTATTGAAAACGATCGAGTTGTTCAGATATTACACGATCGTAAGAACCGTAAAGAAGTATTATATACATATAAAGATAGTAATTATAATAATTATTGACATTGTCCCCATTTATTCATGCTAATATACCTATCATTTATGTGTTAAATTGTCGGGATGGTATATAATTACAATTACTGCAACGTTCAAAATTATATATAATGTGGTTGAATAAGCTACTGGTTGGGCGAGTATGTCCTTTAATTTAATAAAAGCAATACATTTTTAAATAAAAAATATAATTTTCTTCAGTTCTATGTTCATTTTGCATAATTAATTCAATTTATTTTACCTTTTTCTTATATAATTCTCAGGAAAGCAGATGAAAAATTGAAAAAATTGCTCATTTGATATAATATGTACCAAACATTCAATTTTTAAACCAATAAGATTCTGCATGATATTTTTTGAGCGTTTTTATTATCTAAAACAGCGTGAAAATACATTATTGTAAAAATCTAAAACTCTTTATGCTTTGAAACTAAAATTATTCACATTACGCGCATGTGAACGTTTTCAAAATATCGATAAAGTAAAATAAATACTTTTACGTTTTTATAATCATGATAAAAGAACTGTTCTGAATAAAAAATATTTAATAAAATATGAAAATAAAGTAAAATATAGCATATTTATTAAATATTATTTAAGTATATTGTAAAATTTTTCAAACTGAATTGTGTAAAAATATTTATATACGAGTATAAGGTTATATTTGATTGATATTTGATATTCACTAAATATTATATAAATAGAATATTTTTAAGGGATTCGCTATTGTTGAAGTTAATTTAATTTACAAAGACTTATACATGGTCTTGAATATAAAATTATTACTATAAATATATAAAATTATAAGACTAATAACAACTAAACATAATAATAATACACTATCTTAGTGCTGTCATGTCTCAACATCCACTGTACGTTAGATTAGCCATTGACGTAATATATTATTGATAGGTATTAACTAGTAAATTATATTCATATACCACAGAATATTTATTAAAACGACATGCAATATTTATGACATATTTACATCTAATTAAAAATATATAGTTAACTAATATAATAATAATTAATGAGTGATTATTGAATACCTCCAATACTTGTTGTTGGTTATTTCTGAAGTTAAATACATTTTATCATAAATTATATTAGATATAATATATGATGTTATTATTTTTTTAAATTTATTCATTCAGAATAGAATTTTTTTTAATTGAAAATTGTGATACAAGAAACTAGTGGGTCACTTGAATGGGTGTCTTTTAATTGTAACATTCAAGTATAAAAATAAATCATCGGTTTTGAAATTTTAACGAGTTTTAAGAATTACTGTTACTAAAAAATTGTCAAGATTATATTAAAAATGGCAAGTTATTCATATTTATTGAATTTTAATTTGCTGCTTTTGTGGCTAATATTTAAGAATTTCGAAAAATATTTGTTTTTTTGTTGTACCTTGTGTTTGGTTTTTCATTCTGTGTTTGATGCTTGTGTGTACTTTCTCAAAAACTTTTTTGAATAAATTATATAATGTCTATATATAATTATCATTACTTAATATCGCTATAGTTTTCTCGATCTATTATACTTATCTGAAAATATTTATTTATAAAGTATTTTTTTTTTCAAAATATTTATGATTAAAAAAATAATTTAACTTTTAAAGGTTTTAGTACCTATCACATTAGGTAGTTTTTGTAGTACAACACATCTATATACGTTATTAAATCGAAATAGTGTACTAAAAATTTACTCAAATCTTGATAAGCTGAAAACCTATGAAAAATAAATTCTTTGAATTATTAATATTATAAAATCTATTTTATTCGTTTTTTAATATAATATAGTATTTTTATATTTAGAATTTTAAGTATCAAAATAATTTTTTTTTTGTGTTTAATGATTTTCTGATTTTTTGAGATTTCAACGTACTTTAGTAATAATTTTGTTTAAATAGTTAAATTTTATATGAAATTAAAAGAAAAATAATGATTCATTTATAAATATCATATAATTGTTTCCTTAAAGTGCACTTTAAATTATCAGTTATCACATACATTTAATATTAATGTAAATAAATAAAATTAAAGTAATTTAGGACAATAATTTCTAAGGATAAAAAAAATATAAGTTGACGAATTGACGTACAAAAAAGTTCTCTTTATTGAAAATTTAAAAATCAATAATCTTTTTACCCTATATAAAATCTAAAAATAAGTAATAAAACTTTGAGATGATAACCTTAACCTATTTTGTTTACCACGTAGTTATTTCCGACTATCAATATGACTGAAGAGCTCATTAGTTCTATGTTTTTATTCGCTATGCTTTGAAATACTTTTTTTGTGGTTGAAAATCTTCGAGTACTTCCTGTATAAATGTAAAAACTAATTTTCGGTCAAGTTGTTACTACTGAACTTTTTCACGCGAATTTTAATATCAAAAGTAACACTAATGGTACTTATAATATACGGATATATTTATAAACTATGTAGAGAAATAAATTACATGTGATGTTGTTGTACTAAAAATTTTATAATTTTTAAAAGACCAAAAATAAAAATATAATACGTTTTTATCATCAATATAAATGAGCTAAAGTTACGTAAATAATATTGTTACGTGCGACGAAAACAGTACGATTAAACTGCTCATCTACAAATAAAACTAAATAATTTCCAAATTTCCAAACACTTTAATATACACATATTTGATATTAATATTATTATACGGTAGTGAAAATGGTGAATATTGTGAGCTATTCAAACATTTCAAACACTGTTGTCGTAAAATATTAAAAGTATCACGATTATTAATTCTACGTAGACTACTATATTATTATAATATAATGTTGTTTTATGTTTTTATTATCGTATTTTTTATTGATCGCTAGAAAATAATTTAATATATACTTACGTGTTTTAAAAGTTCAGCCTAATTACCTCAAAAACCTTTATTGTTATCAGATTAAGTTAACTACTCATATCTATGGGCTTATCATGAATATAAATTGAAACTTTCATATAAATATAATATTTTTTCAACATTTAAGAATAGAGGTAGATAATAGAAGTTGATCAGGAGGTATGATAAAAATAATTAAGTTTACCTTGTTTTGGTCATATAAATTGTTGGATTAATGGGGTGGAAGAAAAATATATTATTTTACTCACATTCGATACACAGAAAAAAGGTTGATTCATTTTAAAATGATAGGTATTTTGACATTTTTTATATGTGTGAAACTTAAGTCTATTCTTAACACCTCCAGATTACGTGGCGTTAACGTGTTTAAGTATCAGTAATTCTACTATAAAGTATAAACGATTATTATGCTATTTCCATTTTAATTTTGATATGGCTTTAATAAAATATATATTAGTACATAATTAAGTTTAATAATTTTTCTCGTAGATTTAATAGTTTTATTTGGTATCAACTATCATTGGTACTTATGAATATATTTTAAATATTTTTTAATAACAGAAAATATTCACCCGAACACTTTTATCACATGAATGGTATTTTCAGTTATTTATTATTATTATTATTATTTTTTTTTTTGGTTTAAGACCTTGTTAAATCTTGAAAGCGAAACGTTTTATTGCACATTGGATTATGAGATTATACTGTTGATTTGGAACATCGAGAAACGAATACAATTTAATGTTATTTACAAGTTAAATGCTCTCTGGAGTGCTATTCAACCTTTTAAGCGATAAGCAGGGACATTTTATCCAAAATTTAAAAGACTTACGCCTTTTCATCTAGAAAAGCTGAATAGTTAATTATGTATGAATAGGTGCCTATTTAATTTCACCTAAATTGTGATGGTTATGACTTACAACGTTTGGTCATGCATTATTATTTGTTTAAAAGGTATTAGGTAGGACAGGTAAGTGGTACTTTAAAGTCAAAAAAAATTGTTTTTGATATTTAGATTATCATAAATATTTTTATACTTATGCACAAAAAATATTTATTGAAAAAATAATATTATACATTACATCACTATTAATTATATATTATTAAAGTGTAGGTATATTATATTTAATTTTATATATTATGTTCTTATTTACATGCACAAAATAATTCAATTTTTTTTTTTTTAACAACAAATTTATTGTAATTTTGAATTTTTGAATTTTTAAATATATCTTAAAATTATATTTTTAAATTCTCAAGAATTTTGGGCTACTTAAAGCAATATTTTTCAACTTTTGTATTATGGTGACACACTTTTAAAATATTTTATAACTTTTAACACAATAAAAAAATAAGAATAATAGATAATATTACATTTTAATTGGTAATGTAAAATTAAAAATAACAAAGAAAAAATATAACATTTAAAATA